CCCCAAAACCCCAAAACCCCATATAAATAAAATCAGCAAAAATTTAATAAAGAAAAAATAAAGTGAGGAATCAAATAATTTTTGTAAAATATCAAACTTAAATCAGATTCTTAATTAATGAAAGTCTAATAGCCAGCATTAATTGAGTAATACTCAAAATACGTACGGTAGTAAAAAAATCGTCCAGAATGAGATTATGAAGTACGATAGGCAGTCCCAAAATATACTCAATCTCCGACTTGGAAACTTCTTCTTAACTATCTGTTTTAATAAGTCTTTAAAATTAATCAACTATTAATTAGTAGACACAGCAAGAATTATTAGCCATTAAGAATAAATTTCAAACATATCTTTCTCATTTAAATATAGTTAAAGTGCAATTCCTCCAAGCAATCCAGAACCCATCGCTAAAAAATACCAAGATTTTCTAGAGGAGTATGGGTCTATAACTTCTTTCTAGCCGCTCAGTGCTTGCCAATAATTATCATTGACTGGCCAGCTAAATACACAGATTGCATAGTTAAGTAATACAAGAGCCATCAAAATTATCTCAGCTATCAAAATTTGATAGAGAGTTATTTATTCTTGCAAATATTCTTAGTAAATATGCAAAAATCCAAAGCCGAAGCAATAACCAATAATTAATCCAATTATGACATCCTGTAAGTAATGCACACCAAAGTACATTCGAGAGGTAGCTACTAGTAGTGATACTGCTATTAGAACAGGGTATCTAGCCTCTGGTTAAAGGTATTCTTCGAGGTAAAAAATGCTTACACAAATGATTATTGAACTATGAGCACTTGGTGTAGCAAAAGTTGACTCAGTTACGAATATATACTTTTTAATTTCTTTGGGATAGAGCCATTACGGTCTTGGAACTTTCATTAGATTCTTTATTATTCCTGTTATCAAACCAGTATATCCAGATACCATCACAATATAGGCTTGCTTTAGTTCATTACCTTTACTCGAATATACAATATAAGGCAGCAAAACGTAAAACCATTCTCTTTTGACAATGAAATGAATAATCTAAAATTTGAATTTTAGGAAATTTACATAAAACAAAGGAGTAAGTATTTGGAAATTGTTCTATATCTTGACGATTATGTCTTTTTGGAGATTCTTGTTAACTGGATTATGAAATTACTCTTTGAGCCAGTTTATTCACCATTTTTGAACTATTATATTGCTGCTGTCGTCGAAATTATTGCACTCAACTTCTTTGATTTTCAGTTCAAATTCCTATCCTTCTAGATCCTTCACTTCTTTTTCAAATTTGGTATTATTAAGTTTAGAGGGACTTGTTTCCCAACAAAAGTTAGCATTTGCTTCTAAATTTTAGCTTGTATCGCCCATTAAAGTAATTGAAGGTCCGCTTGGTAAATTTCAAATATTATTAAATTTCTAAATAAATTATAATCGCAAATTCTTTCTAGAAGTTATAGGTAAATACTCTAAGTAACCTATTTGACAATATTCTTTAAGTGTTACTATACATGCTGCAAATTTCAAAGGATTCTATGAAAATCATTTAATGCTTCTGAAAACAAGCAATTTATTACAAGAATCATAACTTTTCTGCAATTTACAATTTTTTTAGACAGAATGACAATAATTTTTGCCAGGTGTTATATCGATTGATAATAAAGGAAAAAAATCAATTCTAAAGTTTAAACTTACATGAAAGTGAATTTCGTATACTTGCTTCAAATATGAGTGAATCTCAAGGTCACCAGGATTTATTAACTTAAAAAATTAGTTAAAACAAGTGAAATTTACTCCAAAATAATTAAAGCATCTAAACTCATATCAGAGATTTTTTGCATTCTGCCAACTGAATATTTATAAGTTGTCATGTTTTAGTCTGCATAAATTAAAAAAAATTTCTCTGTCTTAACTTAAGGACTCACTCGATAATGGAGATTGTTATAATAAACACCAAGATAGATTGAAATCATTCAAAAATTTACCATGACTTAAATAACTTATCGATTTTAATTGAAAGAGGTAGGTAATAATCAATACGGTCAAATAGAATAGGAATCACTCTAATGATAATTCACTAATTAAAATAATGGAAAATTATCTGTGATTGTAGTTGAAAGTACTTGATATAGATATTTGAAAATGATAAAATCAGGAGCAAAATTTCAAAGATTAATAGTGAATTTTTTTTAAGTATAGATACAAATTTAAAACAAGATGTCTAAGTAATGAGATTCTTTCTTAGAAATATTATATAGAAATGTTTTATATACCCCACACAATTTTCAAAACTAGGAATATAATGAAAATTGATGGAATGTAGAAATGGTAATAGTGAGTGAGAGCTTAGGGAAATGTGCTCACAATATGAAGCATTTATGGTAATTCAAGAATGACTTATTTTATTTTTACTAAAGATATTTGTTCACAGTATGATAATAATTAGATTGCAATTCTATAAGGTTAATTTAGCCTCAATATGGCTTTAATTTAAGTAAAATTTGAAGAGTTTGAGATTTACTTATGCTTACTAAAACAATTCACTGAAATTTATAATGAGTTTTGAAAATATACTAGTAAAATTGAAATGATAATTCAACACTAGTCAAAATTAAACATTCAATAACTTGTCTTTTCAAGTGTATTTTTGATGATCGGAAATTTAAATCATAATAAATGAAGCATGATTAATGGCATCAAATTATATAAGAGTGTAGACCTTTAGATTTCATAAATTTGATTGGATAACTCAAATATGAGAAGATAAATCAACTACAGAAGGAAAAATATCATATTTATTGTATGATATTAGAAATGATTTCTAAAGCAATTAAGAATCTCCAAACCATTAATAATTTAATATTATTGATAATTTTTAAATTATATTATAAATTGCAAAAATTATTTAGAAGATTTTTGGGGTTTTGGGGTTTTGGGGTTTTGGGGTTTTGGGG